GCTTCTGTTTTAACATGCAGCGTCAGTAAAGAGCTTTAGCGCAATGATTGACATTACCCCAAGTCTATGACCATTGGGGGGCACACGGGGTGGCCAATTAGATTACAGGGGGAGGGTGCCACCATGGAAGCCCCGCCACTGGTTTGATTGCACTGTAGCCTGTGTCTATAAAGTGGTATTATTTATGAACAAGTCTTTGATGAATTAGCTCTAAAGCCAGCAAAGAGAGGCACCAACACACTTGCAGTATAACACAGTCTGTGGAGTCCTCTCTTGTGTTTAACAGCCATTGATCTCACTCACACTGAGAGCTAAAGGACAAACACAGACTGCCGCTGGTACTCTGTATGTGCATGAGCATCTATTATGTCTTAGTGTTTGCATATTTTAACTCTTTCCAGTTTTCTTTTTGTCTCATGCAGTATTTATAACTTCTCTCTAATTCAAGGATCTGTGGTCTGAGGTCGGATGATGTGTTTTCACAATGTGAGTTATTAATGTGAGAACTAACCTGACATTAAAGAGCAACTTAGCAGCCCGTTTTTTCTTGACCGAACCCTTTCCTATATTCAGAAAATGCAGTCAGATCCAGACTGTGCAACATATTTCTAAATTTTTTGGGGTCTACAAACCCAACCTGGAACGGTGAAGACCTGAACACAAGAGCCTTCACTCTCTGATAAACTGCCTTATCCAGTTTAAAACAACCAAAGAGCTAATAGAAAAATTTGAAGAAAACTTTTTTGTCCAAAAAGAAGCCTATTAAGTATGTACGATTGCTAAACATTCAATAAATATATAATACTGACAGAGAATTGGATAAGAAGTTACTAAAAATATCAGGAAAACTATTCACAGGAAATAATCTGCTAAAATGTATCAAAAATTCAGGTTCTTGTGTTCACTATTTGGATTCATTGTACAATTTATCAGTTGTTCTCTTCTGTTATTGTTATACATTTTTTATATATTTTTATTTTTTTATACAGTTTACTCAATGATAGAAAAGGGCTCCCTTAAGAAAAGAGCTAGGCAACCACTGGTCTGGACAACAGAATCACTGGTTTTCTCTAGGAAACAGGAAAACTATTACAATTATTAAGTCTATATAATAAAGTGGTTGTTTTATTATTTACTAACTCAAAAGACAATTATTTAGTACTCCAATAGGTTTAGTTTGAGTGCCGAGCCGCAGAAGAGAGCATGTTTAAAATCAAATGGTTCATCTTCAGGGGAGCATAACCAGCAGGGGGCATGACTTTTGGCAAATCCCCAGACCAATTCAAAAGATTAGTCTGTGCTATACAGACAATATACAGATGATTTTATTGTCACGCAAGCTTCATCGTTTTATGTTAAAGGATGTAAAAAATATTGCCTTTTCATTTCCTATTGCGTTTCTGTGTTTTGCAGCAGACAGATGATGCTTCCCAGACGGACAGTCAGCCACCAACACAGACTGTACCTGAAAGCACAGACAGCAAGGCCCAGCCCAAGAGACTTCATGTCTCCAACATCCCCTTCAGGTTCAGAGACCCAGACCTCAGGCAAATGTTTGGCGTAAGTAAAATACCTGGCTATTTCTAACATTTTAGAACATTTAGGTAAATTATTTTAATACGACAGTTGCGTTAACAAAAAAATGTTTGTATTGAACTGATGACAAAGAACATTTAAAGAGAAAATCAATCACTCAGCATTTCTTTTTTTTTGTTTCTTTGCAGCAATTTGGCAAAATCTTAGATGTGGAAATCATCTTCAACGAGCGCGGTTCGAAGGTACATGATGTTTCTGTTTTTTCTAAGTGTTAGAAAGTGTCTCTTAAATGGTTTTATTTTACTTTTGTAGTAGTAGAAGTGTTTCAGACTCTCCTGCTCCAGAAGTCAAATCAACACATAAGATTACATTTGGGGAACAGATTTAGTCTACTTATTTGTGTTTGATCCGTGACCTTCCTGTACCTAACATACAGAAATGAAATTGATATTATATATTATATATTATATTCATTACACTTTTGGTAGTGTCCCTTCATTGTTGCATCCTCAAAACACAATAGGCCTTTCTTAATACAGTTGCAAAGTTTAAAGTCTGAAGGCAATGCACTTGTGAGTTCACAAGAGCAAAGTTAGGCTCAGGTGATTGGTTTTACCTCAAATATACATTGCAGTAATGATAATAGCTGCAGAGTTATGTTAAAATTCAAGTGATTATTGTACACCATACATCTCTAGAGCAGTGGTTTCCAACCCTTTTCCTTAAGAGACACTTTTTCTATCATTGAGTATACTAAGTGAAATATGTTATGGATATTTCATATTATAGTCAATGCATAACAATAACAGTACAGACCAAACAGTGAACAACTGCACGAAGTTTGTGCACAACGAGCAATTTGGATGAATTTTGAGCAGATCATTTCCAAAATATTGATCAGGGATGAGTTTTTCTGATATTTTGAGGAACTTGTTATCCCATTCTGTTTGTATTATATATTGTTTCATACATATGTACCCATATCCTATTTAGATCTTAAATAATAATGCAAACTTAAAAATAAAAAAATAAATTAGTTTTCTTCACAGAAATGACCTATAAAAATCAAGAAGGCCTTGCAATCTCCTGTGAAGCTTTGGCAACCCCTAGTGGGAGTCTGGAGTCCTAAATTGGAAACCAGTGATTTAGAACGCCAGCTCCAGAGATAATCAACTTGCCTTTCCCTGCCTGCATATTTGAAATCCAAATGGTTTCTTTCTTACCTAAAAACAATCCCAAATTAAATCTGGGGGCACAAAAACATTTGCTGAACAACAATTTTACAGTAGATGTCCTCCAGCATGTGCAAGTCAGGTTTTAAAGCATCCTTGATTAACTGGCTAAAGCAAGAACACTTTGGGGCATTTGGAGTTGGCCTACAACTGATGAGTTTCAAAAGTTTATGAGAATATAAGTTCCCCTAACCCTAACCCTTATTGAGAAAGGTCTGATATTGTAATCTGACAAAACAAAATGCTAAACTACAAAAAGATAGATATGTGCAGTAAATAATATAGTCACTGATAAATAAATATAGTTTCTTTTAAAGTCCTTCAGCTCCTGCAGTTTTTAGAATAAGATTATTTTTGTTGCTTTGCTTCCCATTATTACTGTAGTATTTTTTCTGACTGCTAATGAAATGCCACAAAGAAATACATTTTCCCTTCATTCTTTTGGTGGATTTAATTTCCCCTATTATAACTTCACCAAAGGAATCTATTCAAGTAACACGCAAAGGAAACAGCATTGTTATTGTTGTTAAAAAAGACAAAAAATGTATCAGGGTTATGGTTATGTTGTGTTTAGGGTTAGGGTTGTGCTGAATTAGGGTACTGGCACCAATTAAGGCACTGCCTAAGGGAGCAGGGCTTTGCAAAGGGTAAGTTTCCTCTGATCAATTAATTTTCTTTTTTAACAGACCTGTGTAATATTATTGGATATTGGTTAATGTGAGATACTCATTAAGCATAATATTGTGTTATCTACTATTCTCTTTTTGATGCAAGTTGTTCACTGTAATGTGAGTGTAATATATCAGAAATAATTTGCATGTTGTTCTTGCCTTTTTCCGTCCTGCATGTAGGGTTTTGGGTTCGTAACGTTCGAGCATAGCGTGGATGCCGACAGGGCCAGAGAGAAATTACATGGCACCGTGGTAGAAGGCCGTAAAATAGAGGTGCATGTTCTCAAATATTTCTTTCAACTTGTTCCTTCTTCCTGTCCTCCTTTTCCTCTCTGTGGGTATGTTTTGTATTTATGTGTGTGTTTGTGTGTGTGAGTGTGATAGTCTACCGCCACATCCTACCTTGCCATCTTCCTCATGACATCAAATTGTCAAGTCATCCAAGCCTCATCATTTCCCTTTCCTTGTGCAGTTTTATTAACCAAATAAATGTCGCCATATAACTAGTCCAACATTATTGTATGTGAGAGACTTTTCTGGTTTTATTATTTCTTAGTTTACTTTTTTCCCTTTTTTCTTTTTTACTTGATTTTGTACTGTTAAGGAAATGTACCTTACCAAAAGTTTAAAAGTGGAAATCACTTTTCACATTCTCCTGTGTTAGAGAAGGTGCATATATTCCTTTGGAGTTTGGCCATGAATGTTTGAAAGAAAAGATGTTCTTATATATGTTTAATGAAGAAAGGAGCTTTTCCTCCAATAAATCCTAAAAACCTTACCCATCCACGGACAGAGGAAGTACTTAGGGATTTGTTGACACCTGGAGAGCCAAATGCAAGGTTACACAACTAACATGATTCAGTAGAATGACAATACTTAAGTGATATTTCAATGTCTTGTCTTCACTCAGAGGAACAACAGCTAGACACCACCAGTCTTGAAGCATAACTCTGTCCATTTTTGAACCTGTATCAGCATTTTAATATTTTAATAGATTTTAATGCCTTAAATCATGATTGCTGTTGATAGATTTTTCCACCAAACATCCAACAGCATCAATATCATCCACATTCCCACCATGGACCATATTGTCGAGTCTACACAGTCCATACTAAAATCTGGACCATGTGAAATCTACTACATGGGCTGCACTTTGGAAGGGACTGTGGCATGGGTTGGGCAGAACTGGCACTGGCTTAATAGTCACAGGTAAAGGCTTTAAAGAGCCTTTGGACCACTTTGGATTTTTCTCCCATGTATCACACTGCAGTTGCAGTCTTCCATTGCCAATCCTTCATACTATACAATGTTTCCTGCCTATTCCCATGGAGAAATGGGGCCCATTTGAGTTGGCCAGTTGGACCCCACCTAACACCCAGTGTAATCCTGCATAAAGCCCATGAGGGCAATTGACATGAGGCCATCATGGAACCCAGAGACAATCATTTTACAGCCCATGTAATACCCACATACAAATGTTGGCTGGGTTATACCTACAACTAAAAATAATTCATTCATATGATTAGACACCTGACAAAGGCTATAATACCCTGGCACCACAGCAAGCTTCCTTCATCGATAGATCCATCCTTCCATTTTCAATCGCTTATTTTATTCCTGAGGGATTTCCATGCCTGATGGGATATGTAATCCCTCCAGTGTTTTCTGGGTCTTCCCTGTAGTCTCCTCCCAGCTGGACCTCCCCTGAATACCTCCACAGGAAAGAAGAAAGGCCAGGATCCGCCTCAACTAGTTCAGTTTGTGGCAAGGAGAGGACGTTTCTCTTGAACTCCCTGCCGAGTTCCTCACTTAATGTCTAGGGTCTGCCCAGCCACCCTGCAACGATGGTCAGCTTTTATTATATTCTAGGTGAGGTTAGGGATGTAGATTTAGTGATAAATAGACAGTTTTAATGGATTGATGATATATTTTCTCATAAACAAGATCATGACATACTTGAACTTCAGGCAGTGACTAAAGCCATTTTTATCTTGCTAACAGATATCAGTCAAGTTTCTACCAGATTGTCTTGCACTGTACATCTGTCCCCATGGTGACAAATTTGCCTGTTCAGTCATTTATAACAAATTGCTTTAGTACATTCTTTCTTTTTGTTTCTTCTATTCCCAAAAATCACTGCAAAGATCTCATCAATTGAATTCAATTCAGTTTTATTTGTATACTGCCAATTCATAACAGGAGTTATCTCAGGAC